AGTAACAAAGTGAAATGATCTTAAGAAGTTGCACATCAACAAATGCCCGGATTATAATATATATGAATTCTTTGTCATTCAAAGCGCTACAACAAATTTAGAATGTCATCTACAAGGCCCTTACAATTACATTTACAATAGACCTTACACCTGCATTATAAAGCCCATTGCAAAGTCCATTGTATAAGTAAAGCTCTTTGCAAAGTAAGCTATGTTGTAAAGACCATTGAAAAGTTCATTGTAAGCTATATTGTAAAGTCCATTAAAAAGTTAATTGTAAAAACCATTCTAAGGTATATTGTAAAGTCCATTGTAGAATACAGTGTAAAGTCCATTTTAAGGTATACTGTAAAGCTCATCATAAAGTCCATTGCAAAATCTATTGTCAAGTTCATTGTAAAGTCCATTGTAAAGTCCATCATAAAGTCCATTGCAAAATCTTATGTAAAGTTCATTGTAAAGTCAGTTGTAAAGTTCATTGTAAGGTCAATTGTAAAGTTCATTGTAAAGTTCATTGTAATATCTATTGTATGGTTCAGTGTAAAGTGTGATTTTGTGACGCACTACAGGATTAAATACATTTATGATATATATAAATATGAAACCTTTTTATCATATAAAAGCTCTAAAACTCTAAAAACGAAGTTCTGGTCAATCTATCTGTCTATCTAGTTGGATGGGTCGTGGGATTGAATCTTAACAAAAATCATCTATTCTAATCCATTTCTTTCTTTCTCCAGTTTTTACACTCAATTTTGAATGCATCTTAACTATCTTTCACAATCTTTGCTTGATCTTTTTCAATTAAATTTCCCGCTCTTCAGATCTCTTCAAGTTTATAACTCAAATGTTCCGTAATTGTCTTTGTTCTTTGAATGTATTTTAGATTTTTCCGGCTGCCCGGCGAGTTGATTGAGTTACCGTTAGCTTTGAGGTTTCCGCCATCAGCGCATCAAGGTCAAGGATAGCTGGACAGGGGAGTGGGGGGGGGGGGGAGGGAGGGAGGATGCGCTTGAGTGCAGGGCGGGGTGGGTCGAGCGACGAGCTGAAACTGAAAGTCACCCCAAATGACTCGGAATCGGTCATTATGTGTACATGGCACGCATTTCCTGAGCTCGCCTCTAATTCCCGTTTCCCACTTTCCATTTCCCACTTCCCATTTCCCCTCTCCCATTTCCCATTCCCCTTTCCCATTGCCGCACCCCGCCCATTCGCAGCAGAAACTAATAATTAAAACTACAAATGAATTCACACCCTTCGACCGAATGCAACCGAATGTTGTGATCGCGAGTGCGTGAATGAGTGTGAGTGTGTGTGGGTGTGTGTGGGTGTGTGTGTGTGCGTGTGTGTGCGTGTGTGTGCGAGTGTGTGCGAGTGTGTGAATGAGTTTTTAGGGCTATAAACATTTAACATTTGCCTAGACAAACGATTTGGGCAGCAAAAACGTTTCATTTTGGGCTACAAATTGAAATGAATGCATTCGAATGCACATTCAATGCATTTATTTGCGTGTGACCGACTAGAAGATACCCTGCAACTAGCGTTGAGCTGTCACTTGCCAATGGAATTGCAGAATGTGAAATTTGTAAATGTACAAAAATGTTGAGCACAGTGGAATGAGGCTATTATGCTGTAAAAACCAAATTTCAAAAAAGGTTTATATTAAATTGGAAGCAGATATCGAAGATAAACTATAGCTTATACTTGAGATGGTTATAGATGCATATATATATGAAATTTCAGCTGCCTCGCTTTTGCAGTTAACGAGATCAGACGGACTGACAGACGAATCAGGAATATATGCACTTTATGGAGTCGCAGATGCTTCGCTCTTTCTCATATTATTAATTTCCAATGGGTTCAATAGCCTTGTAAAATGCATTGTAAGAATTACTTATAAACAATACTTGAAGCGAAAAATGCAATAAAATATCAAATTAAATGTAGTACTCGAGTGTTTTTTGAGTGTTATTCACATGTTATTCACACGGCAGCAATGCTTCAATAGTTCAATCAAGAACTTAACATTGAGTAGTTCTCTCTCTCTCTCTCTCTCTCTCTCCCTCTCTCTCTGTCTCTCTGGTGAATACATGAATTATTCATTCAGCTGAGACCCAAGTCCATTTATACACTCACTCCAAACCAAAGCACTCACGCGCCCGAGCTGTCAACTACGCTGATTGACACTTGCAAAGAAAAAAAAACCAAATATACATAGAAGAAGAAAAAACTGACTGACAGAAAAGTTTCTACATATACGCTGGCAGGCAGGCGGGCAGGCAGCAGCAGGTGTCAATCAGTCTGGCCACACTGGCAATTAGCGATGACACTCGCACCTGACGTGCGCACCGTACGTGCTCACGACCTCAGTTCAATCGCTTCCAAAGGCGAGCACAAAAGAGAAAAGGGAAACAACTGGACAAGGTTTTTTCTGCTTTTGATTGGCGCTTTGCCTGTCAGTCAGTCAGTCAGTCAGTCAGTCAGTCAGTCATGTGAGTGGTCACACTGGCACTTGCTCTTGGGACGCACTGTACTCACGCGCTCATCGGTATATCATTAATATATAGAATATATATATAAATCTAAGCCACTTTTGTAGCTCTGCCCGCGCTCTTGTACTTCTATTCGAGAATTTAACTCGTTTGCGCCTTGAGCTGGTCACACTGGCACTTGATTGAGCTTGCATTGGACTCTAGCAATAGGGTCGAATTTTCGGGAAATTCCTTCCCTCAGGCTCCGCTTTGCTAGGAATGAAGCGATCTTTGGACTGGTCACACTGGTACTTTGAGAAGCTCAGCAAATGACTCACGCGCAAAAATGCATTGTTGCTGGTTCGACTCGCAGTTCGAACCAGCTTTCTGCCTTTAGATTCGACTTGTGATGGTTCAAATCTTGGTTTACAACTTTTTTACGATTTAATTGTTGTTTTCGTCTGCTTCGGGTTTTGTTTTAATATATTGGAATTCCTGATTTGAACCAGCGATTTTCCGCAGTCTAACATAGTTCAACTTGCAGATTGTAGCCTGTTCTTCATGATCTGACTCTTCGGGTCACACTGAAATCGCACGCAATCGCCTTTGTGCTCCAGCCACGCCCATTTGGCCCTCGAAAAAAAAAAGGGCGGGAGGGGCGTGTATTAAGTGCTTGATTGATAATGGCATTAAAAGTCTCAAACGGCGCCCACAAAACAATTGCAAACGGGAAGGGGCGATGCGAATGGCCATGGAAATGCAGCCAGAGGGGGGGAGGGGGGCGGGGGTTGGGCAGCTGCTGCTGCTGCGGATAGGCAAATCAGAAATAATAAAGTCAAGGGGCAATATCCTGTAATCATAACATTCTCAGCAGAGACGCGGCACTCGCCACCCGCCGTAGGCCCCATGCGAGGCGTGGGCAACAAGAAACAACAACAGCAACAACAACAACAACAGCAACAACAACAACAACACTAAATAACAACAACAAACAAGCAACAACAACAATTGCAATGTGCACTCAATAAATTTCAATTAAGCAAACAGCAGCCTGTGCATTTTCCCACTCCATATTTATATATTGTTTATAGTTTTTCTTTTGTCTCGACTTTGTTTCTTTCACATAAATACCCTGTAAATAAGGCAGGCGGAGTTGTATATTTCAATGGGTCTAACATTACAGCCAGAACTTTGTGTTCTTATCCTTCTGCGACCTCAAGTACCTCGGGAAATTTGGAAAACTTGGTTTGTGTTTTTCTTACAGTAAAACCTCGCTACAAGAAACTCTCGATGTTGTTCTTGTAATATCAATAGAAGCGCAAAAGGCATTTTGAAGATCAAAGTTTATACCTTTAATAACAGATTTCAATAGACAGAGAGAGAGCGAGAGAGAGGGAGAGAGAGAGAGGGAGAGGGAGAGAGAGAGAGAGGCTAGCTGGTAAGAAAGAGAGAAGGAAAAAAACGGGAAAGGCTTGGAAGAAGTTGAGAAATGATCTCAATATTTATTCTCAAGCTTCATCAAATGTTTCCCCTTTTCTTCATTATCTTCCTGTTAAAAATCCTTATATAGAATACTTCCAGTATAAATATTTCCACATTCCGTCTTTTTACAGCATATGAACTAGTCGAGCATGCCTTGATTTAGTTTATATAGCGCTTAGTTATTCATTTTTGATGGCGCATAGCACATTGCACATGGTTTATGTTGCGTTGCATTGTGGAAATCGATTTTAAATTCAAGCCTTTCAATCGGCCCATTCGTGATCAGTCAACTATATATTGTTATTACGACTATTGTTAGCATAGCACATAGTTATTAACTAGCTAGTAAGGCAAGCCGTGACGTCATGAACCTGCCTCAGTTGCCAGACTATAAGGGGTGAAGTCGCTGGTTCAAATCGACTTGCCTTTATGCTTGTTTATTTCATTTGTTATTAATCAGACAGAAAATAATGAGAGCTTTAAGGAGAAATAAGCAAAGCAAGGCTAAGGCCTGAGACAGCCTGCGATTTGAACCAGCAACCTCTCTGTTAAGTTGCTTGAAAGACTCGCAAAGTTTCTGAAAAAACAATCAAATTGCGCTGGCTGCCAAAGTAAAGGCCCAAGACAGCCAGTAAATTGAACAAAGGTGAAGTCGCTGGTTCAAATTCGGCAACAATTTAACGTTAAAATGCTAGCTTATTTCATTTGTTATCTTTTTAACTTTGAGAGGCAACAAGCAGAGCAGACCTAAGGCCTGAGACAGCCAGACTAACAAACGTGAAGTCGCTGGTTCAAATTCAGCAACAGTTTTACATTTTAATGCTTGTTTATTTTATTTGTTATAAATCACACAGCAAATAATGAGAACTTAAGGAGGAATCAAGCAAATTGCGAGGCCTAAGACAGCCTGTGATTTGAACCAGCAACCTCTCCGTTAAGTTGCTTGAAAGACTCGCAGTATCTGTTTGTAGATCTTTGACTTAAATTGTAGCACACCCGGATATTTACTTCAAACTTCTCTCCGATTCAAGTCGTTGCCCAAAATATTTCCAATATTCAGTTAGTTTTAAGATTTTTTAGAGTTTACATCTATTTTTTAAACTTTAACACAAATTGTTTTTTTTTAATTTTTAGTGCTTCTTTTTCTATATTATTTTAAAACATGTCCTTCTGTGAACTGGTAAGCTGGCAGGACCTCAGAGCTATATACACCTATATATATATATATATATATATATATATAAATTTCAGTGCATGGGTGATTTGAAGGCAAAGGGGCGAAATGCTGGTACCCGGCGCGCAGCAACAGCGGCGGCAGCTGCCAGAAAGCAGAACCCCAGGCAGACGAAGGAGGAGCCGCCCCGTGAGAGCTCCAGGCAGCCCAAAACGGGAAACCGGAGGCCATTGAGAGGACAGGCAGACAAGCCAGGTCTGGGTCCGTCGCAAGCTGCGAATCGCAAAAAGAAAGCAAGTCGAGTTCGACCAAAAACCCGGAACCAAGCATGCCAGACACCGCGCTGCCCGATATTCTGCGACTATGCCAGATAGTTGTTCAACCAGCCCCGAAACTGGAGGCACTCTATCGATGGACTTCGTTGGAGACGGAGATGTTCTAACTGAATGTTAACTCTCCCCTCTTTTAATTTATTTTAAATGACAATGTGACAGCCCTTAATGACGCATTGAATATACTTTATATACTGATATGATATCGTCCAAAAACATATCTCTTCTTGCCGAGCCCAATCTCTCGTTCTTCTCTGGAGTTCGCTTTCTAGCTTCAACTTGGGGTTAAATCACTTTTACAAGAACCTTCGAGTCAATGTTAACTCGAACTTCAACTGAAGAAAGTGCTTAAACTTAACTTAAAGCAGAAGCTAGTTCGAACCATGAACCAGGGCTTCTGCCTGGGCTAAAGCAAGTTAATGAACAAGTTCACGAGCTGAACTGTAAAGCAAAAGCTATTTCGAGCCGTGAACCAGGACTTCCAAGTCGCAGTCTAGTCACAAAAACGTTTAAGAGCCAGCTTAGTTGAACCAGGGCTGAAGAAAGTGAATAAACAGGTTCACGAACTGGACTATAAAGCAAAAGCTAGTTCCAACTATGAACCATGGCTTCCCAGTCCCAGTCTAATCTTAGAAACTTGAAACAGTCTAGTTGTGCTTGGGCTTAAATAGGTTCACGAAAGCGAATTAACAAGTTCACGAGCTGAGCCTTAAAGGAAAAACTAGTTCGCGTCGTGAACCAGGGCTTCAGCCTAGCTACAGGCTCACGAGCCGAACTTTAAAGCAAAAGCTAGTTCGAACCATGAACCAGGGCTTCTTCCTGGGCTAAATCAAGTGAATGAACAAGTTCACGAGCTGAACTTTAAAGCAAAAGTTAGTTCGAGCCGTGAACCAGTCGCTTCCAAGTCGCAGTCTAGTCTGAAGAACGTTGACGAACCAGTCGAGTTGTGCCTTTGAATCATAATATCAAACATATTACGAGAATTACGAGTAAAGATTTGCTCTCAAATCATCTGCTGCTACGCATTTTGTTCCATTTAGCTCGCATTTATGCTCATGGGATTCAGTTTGGTGCAGCGTCATTATGAATTTAGGCAAATTTTGTTCATGTTTTGTGCGCTCGCTTTTTTGGCCATTAGACAGTTTCTGACAGCGACGATGTAATTAGGAAGTGAAAAGCGAAACTACACTTGCAGAAAAACTGGGCGAGTTCAACAGCTGTCCGACTAATTGGTTATAAGCGCGCACAGCTCTAATTTCTCCCTTCAGTTCGACCTTCGACCTCTAATTGGGGTAAAAAACCGGAAAAAGTTTGTTTGCGAATCAGCAAAAATAACGCAGCGTGGCTTAGGAGACTGAGATTCGAACTTGCAAGCGAGAAGTCGCTGGTTCCAGTTGAGCAGAAATTTAACCTTCTCAGGCGAGAAGTCGCTGGTTCAAGTTCGGACGATATTTCATATTCACAAGTGAAAGAACGCTAGTTCAAATTCAGTAGCAGTACCACGCTCGAAAAAAGAGAAGTCGCTGGTTCTAATTCAGCAGCATTTACACGACTAGAAGCGAGAAGTCGCTGGTTCAAATTCAGCAGCATATTCACACCTCACAAGCGAGAAGTCGCTGGTTCAAAGATCAGCTACAATTCCATGCTCGCAAGCAAGAAGTCGCTGGTTCAAGCTTAGCAGCAATTTCATATTCACAAACGAGAAGTTGCTGGTTCAAGTTCAGCAGCCTATTCACACTCACCATTAACAAGTTACTAGTTCAAGTCAGCTCCAAATTTACACTCAAAAGAGAGAAGTCGCTGGTTCAACTTCATCCAAAATTCCATATTCACAAACGAAAAGTCGCAGGTTCAAAATCAGCAACATATTCTCACTCCCAAGTGAGAAATCGCTGGTTCTAATTCAGCTATATTTCCATGCTCGCAAGCTAGAAGTCGGTGGTTCAAATCCAGCAGGAATTATCCATTTAATAGCTTAGCTTAATGTAATTAACTGAGAACTAAAAAAAGGAAAATCGCTTTTTGTGCTAAAAGATTACGAAATAGTAAATTTGTGTCTGTCTTTTAAGCTGAGTTTTGAAACTTTGCGCTAAAATTGGGATGAAATAATGCAGATCCAAAGCTTTTAGACCCATTTTTTGTGCAAGTGTATTATTATTTTATGAACTTGTATTGTAACGACTCTTCGCTTGCATGACGTTTTAATGTGTGTGCGTGTGTGTGTGTGTGAGAGAGTGTCTGTGTGTGTGTATCTAATGACTTTAATAACATTCAAGTGGGTGCAAAAACTAGCATCACGAGGGGTGACGCGAATCCCAAAGCACAACACACTGACTGTAACAGGCGAGGTGGGGAGTAAGCCTAGGGAGGGGTCGCGAGGGGGAGGTGGGGAGGCGGGGTGGCGGAGAGGCGGGTTAGAGGGCAGTTCACCCTCGGTGCCGTTGAGTCTGAGCGGCTCAGTCCAGTCTCGAAGAGTTCATCATACAAATGCATGATTCATGCTACACTTACAACATTCGACTAAATATTAAGCGACTTTCTATACACACCCGAATACTACACACACACACACAAGCACACACACACACGGACAAATGAGTGCACATCAAAAGCCACCCTCACTTTTGGGTTGCGGGTGTGCGTGTGTGGAAGACAATGTTGTTGAGCAATTCGGGAGTAAAATATTTCACGTTTAGTTCGAAATGCTTTGCTTTTGCTCTTCCTCTTCTTCATATTTGTTTCTTTATATACCCTGCACCTAGGGTGAATGTCTAAAACATATAGGGTAGACTCTGATTTCAAATAGTTTTGCATCTATTACGTTAAGCTGTCTCTTCCCTTCTTCCCCTTTTCATTTACTCAAAATCGATAAATATTGATTTTTAAGCCTCGATTTCTTTCAAGCTGATCTCAGAGCTTTAAGGAGCCGCGGACACCTAATTCCTCATACGACATACAAAAAGTTCATTTAAAATCTGCGATTACCATGACTAGCTGACCAAAATCGATAACTATCAATAAATATCGATAGTTATATGTTCTCCTGAACAAGAGAGAGAATAAGAGCCACCAAATATTATAAATAGGGTTTCGTGTAAAAACACAGATCAAATTGATGTCCAATTGCCCATATATTTCTCTAAAAATCGATAAATATCGATAGTTACCATATGTTCTCTTGCATATTATAAGAGTAAGAGTAAGCTAGTTTCACGAATAGGTTTTCAAATAGCAAGCTTAGATCAAGTTGATCTCAAAGTATTATACTTTTCTCTATTCACTCTATCTATAATCGATAAATATCGATAGATAACGCCTTGTACATTTTAAGATCTAGATTACTCTAGTTTTATGAAATAGGTTTTCGTTTAGCAAAAATAGATCAAGTTGGTGTCCATTGGAACAAAACATTTCTCCATTCAATCAGAATCGATAAATATCGTTAGCTATAATGTGTTCTTTTCTAAGAATAAAAGTCACAAAATTTCATGAAAAGGGTTTCGTGTAGAAAACACCGATCAAGTTGATCTCAAAGTATTATAAATATACTATACTTTTATCCATTCAGTCAAAATCGATAAATATCGATTTCCAAGCCCAATTCTAAAGCATTACTCGCTTAATATAAGTGCCAGAGACACCAAATTTGCTATGCAGGCTCTCATAAGCTAAACACACAACTAGAATATTTCACTTTTGGGTATAAAGGGTATCTGCCAGTCAAGCAGAGTCACCTAATTAGCTAGAGCTAGGCGCAGCATGAGGATTGGCGGGGTTGGCGTTGTCTTTGCAATTGATTTGTGTCCAAAATACTTCCGCAATTGGTTCACAGAGCAGTTTATCTGGCTGTCAACACTTGAAAGCGAGTCGCAGTCCATAAAAGCATGCGATATGGGATGGATATATGTACATACATATATATAGATGGGAAAGATTCATTCAAGTGGCGTTTGCCATTTCCGATGTCTACTTCAAAGTCGTCTCGCTGCTAGTTTCATGTTTTTCCTCTTCTTGTTTTTCTCTCTCGCTCGTTTTCTCCACTCGTTTTTCGTTTTTCGCATTTGATGGCACATTTCCGGCAGCGTCTTGTTGATTTTTCGCTCTATTTTTGGTTTGTGGCGCACGCATCAACTGCATTCGCAGCTCCGCATTTGGCCCAAGACCTGAACTTGTTCCCGTGGCCTGCCACATGCCACATGCCAGATGCTGCGAGTTGTCTAGTTCATGTAAGCTTTGCATAAATCTTTAGCAGCGCATTCCTCTTGCATTCACATGCATCCCCTTGCGGGCACTGGTTCTTTGTGCTAGTTCCAGTTCCAGTCCAGTTCAAGTTCCAGTTCCAGTTCCCTCTAGTTCATGGAAGCTTTGCATAAATCTTTAGCGGCGCATTCCTCTTGCATTCACATGCATCCCCTTGCGGGCACTAGTTCGTCGTGCTAGTTCCAGTTCCAGTTCCATTTCAAGTTCTAGTTTCCTCTTCAGCGGAATTCCTGTTGCATTCACACTCGCCCCTTGCAGGCACTGGTTCTTTCTGCTAGTTCCAGTTCCAGTTCCAGCTCCAGTTCCAGTTCCCTTTACCGAGATCTGGTTCCAAGCAGGCGCAGGCGTTCGATCGCGCGTAGCTTTCAATGCAATTGATTCTCGGTTTTTCTTCCTTTTGACTCTTTCTCTTTACTCTTCATTTCTTGAAGTCTCTCTACTTTCTTTCCTAATTCACACATTCCCTCTCTTTCTCTCTTCATACGCTCACGTCTCTCTTTATACTAAGCTCCTTACACTCTCCCGTTATCACCGCTCTCTTTATCGCTTTATTCTCTCTCCAATCTTTCTCTCCCTGGCTTTACTCTTTCCTCTTCTGTCTGCTAATCTCTAGTTTATCGCCCTTTCTCTTACTTTTATTGCGTCTACTGGTTTGCTCTCTTTCATTCTCCTTCTTCTAACTGTACGTATTATTAACTATACGTATAATCCTTTCTTATTCTCGATCTTTATCTCTCTTCCCCCATGTAGCTTTTATTCTCATATTCTTCTTCTCTCTTTCTATGGCTTGACTGTCTTTTTCTGTCTCTTTCTCTCTCTCCCTCTCTTTCTCTCTCATTCTGTCTCTCTCTCATTCTTACCGTCTTGAGTATATCTCTCTCATATATTTTTACACTCGATATCTCTCTCTTTGTCTCCTATCTCCCGATCTTTCTCTTTTCATACGGCCTTTTTCA